GTACAATCCACAACGGAAGAGGGGTTTGTCCCCAAAACTTCAATGTAATTGAGAAGGTCCATACAAGGCAATCAAATGACTAAACGACGTAGTGTATCGAATTCAAACCGTTGGAAGTCCAAAAAACAAGATGAAAGTGGTCCACCTGGAGAGGCTTGCTGAGTTTGGAACAGTGAATATGTCTGATCGGGACTGAGTAAATAAAGGACATTAGATAATTTCTTTATAACGAAAGAAACTGCAAATAAAGTTGGCGAGTTTTTATTTAACAATCCAGAGATCGTACCCGAAGGATTCAGAAAATCGTCGAGGTTGATTAAGCAAAATCGTAACAATATTATGGTAATATTCGCGATATACAGAGTTCTTTACAATTACCAAACGAATATTAAATTAATATGTATTTTAACTATGAAAAGTATAAGAATAAAAGTTTAAAATTTTTAATAATTTAATTCAATTAAAGATTTTTCAGAAGCAATTTTCGGCTGATCTTCTCCAATTTATGGTATACGCCTTGATGATCCAACAAATGGAAGTACCTATAGTTTATTTTAAGTGGCAGACCCATGCATTTTTATAAGCGTGTTAGTTGAACCAAGTCTCGAACCAAGGCCATTCGAATGGCAGTACGCAATGCTTACCACTCGGATATTTCGGAATTCATTTTATAAGACTCACTTCATTAGATGTTCATGTAATAGTTAGTTTGTGATAGAAGTATTGGTAGTACAAAGAGCTCGCTGTACCTGAATTCTTACACCAAAATACGAAAAATAATAAATTTTCTGGGTTGAACTCAAGGTTTATAGAATACAAGGTTACGACAACCATTGACGTCACCGAACCAACTTCGAGATTTGATATTATGTAATGCAAGGAAATAAGTTTTTTTTCTTTCAAATATGTTTATGTATGTTAATGTGGGAAACATTTCTTATACCGAAGAAAAAACAAATTATACAAATTTTGTTTTTGATTTTACCTATTGACGCTACCGCAGTCACATATTTGGCCCTTTTTTTTATTAAAAGATGGCGTAAAAATTAGCGAAAAATAAGCTACTGTGCAAGGTTTTGATCAAACTAAGATCGAGGTACCATTTTTTTTTTGCGAATCAATACTTCAAATATATTATATTCTAATTATCCGATGGATTCCAGTTTTCTTAATACCAAAACTTCATAAAATGAAAATCACCCACACAAGTTTTTTTTTCAAATTTTTGCACATAATAGCCCACTGCACACAGCTTCAAATTTTTAAACACGATTTTTCTACAAGATATGGATCATCCATTTAAAAAAAAACCATTTAACAGACAAAGAAAATACGTGAAAATTTGGGTTTCTTATTAAATGTTTTATAAAATTACGCGTTGGCTTTGAATTTTGCTGATTCTTAACGTTTTTGACATTATTTTCTCATGCTATTCGTATTACATGATATTAACAGTTCGAGTTATTACTTATAGAAACTTTTGTTAAAAGATAATATTAATTTTTATAAATTAAAAATTTTTGAAAACCAAAATACATTTGTTTCACATAAAACTGTTCAGAATCGTATTTTTAGTGGCAATATCTTTATGTTGGAATGAAAATAAGATATGATATCAAAAAATCTTTTCCTGTCAATTTATATTGAGTGAAAATACCTTCCTTTTTGATATCATGGATAAAATTAAGATGGATTATTTTAAAATCTTCGACAATTCACGAAATTTTAGCAACTTCGTCATTAAACATATTGTTGCGAAAATGCGAGGCGAATGTCAGATGAAAGAGAGAAGCCGATAACTAGTACGTTCTAGAAACGATAAAACAAGAACCTTCCATAGCGAACAATTCGATGCTTCTACGCTTTCGTCTGCGAGCAGCCGACTGCTATATAAAGGCGACACTCAGCTGCAAGTCAAGT